CTATTGCATAAGACATAACATCTTTATTTACCATGCAGCCTCGCAAATATCCGATACTTAGGGTATTGCCATTTGTAATGGCATAAAATATTGGATTTATCATTCAAATGCAGTCAATGTGTAACCAGACAACAAAATGAGCTATTTCAAAGCAATAAAATTAAATACTTATTAGTAACAATAAGTACTTAATAATTAACAATTTAAATACTTATTTTGTTGTAGACATTAGAACCGGCTTTAGATGAATCTTGCAAAAATTACTAGGCTGCTTCATTTTGTGATATTACACTAGAGATACTACCGTGCATTTATTGCCCACGTGATTTGACACGCATTGCCCTCGTGAAACATGTAAAATATTGAGTTCATCTTCCACGCGACCTGACTCGGCATCACATGAGATCATTTATTTATTTTCCAAATTATAATTCCTCAGCAAACTGAAAATTTTTAAAGTAGTAAACGCCCTTCTTAATAATTTAAATGTTTATTATATACCATAATAACGTATATAACTGATATAAATTAAAATACATTTAATTTTTTCATATCCAATTGAAAACTAAGCTTTTGCAGCATTATTGCAATATTTTTTTTTTTAATTTTCTAATATACACATATCTCGGGTACAGAATCTTGATTTTTCATCAAATGCAGTGAAATCTTAACTAGAAAATGTTTTCAAGGAATCGCATACTACAAAAAACAGGCCCACCAGTGACCAAGCGGTCAAAGACTGCTGAATACTGGTAGTTTGAGGGTTCGATCTGTGGCGGCATGGTTGTTTTTTGTGGTTTTCCCCATGTGTAATGTGAATATGAGAAGGTGGTCCACAAAGGCAACTCTCCCTTTATTCAAAGAGCCCTCGTACGCTTTGTCATATTTAAATTGCCAAATTCCAATACATCCAGGGAAGAAAAAGCTTCTTTGGCTTTTATTTACCAGGGATAAACTCTCGTTTTACTCTAACTTACGATTATTTTTAATAAGATAAGCTCTGAATGGAAAGATAAATAAAATGTTTACTTATTTCTTGTGTTATAGCAAGTTACAGCATTCGATCAAATATCACTTCATTTTGTTTCATTTCTTCCAAAACCAAAAAGCTTGAATCACATAAAATTGCTTTAACAAACAGTAATTAAAGATACATCACATTAACTTCTCCCTATGGAAGAGGGTGATATTTTACACAAGAATAACTGAAATGTATTGTACTCATTGAAATAATGTTCCTCAAACCGGACACATTCTGGATCGTTTCATTCATTCCTTTATTCTTATATCGCCCTTTCTAAAACGCGATTTAAATCAGATATTACTAAGAAACCATTAGGAAAATTCAAATATCCAGCTGCAAGGGGAAAAGGCATTATTATTGTAAATATGCTTTAAATTTAAACATTATTTGCCCATAAGTACATTCTAAAAAGTCTGCTTTAATTTCAGGCAGTCATACAAATGCTTTATTTTCAGTCAGTGGACACTTACGCGAACAGCATTATAAATGCATGAAAGTGTACATAAATACTATATTCCGCGCAAGTGCAGCTTTTTTTCTAACATGTTCGGATCGTATAAATACGATGTAATACTGTTGTTTCCATTCTGAAGCATCAGCGACATCTTAGCATACATTTTCGTTGTTGATCATTAGAAATGTAATGATGATTTGGGCATCATAAACGCAACCAACCTATGAGTATTTAAACTGAATACATAACCATGAAGTTTATTTATCTATAGTAAAACACAAAGGACTATTTCCCAGCTGGCACTTAACTAGCTGAAGATTAACAATTCTCTACTAAGAAGTTTTGAGTTAAGGATTTATAATCGTTAGCACGATTAATTGTAAAAGCACCCTCTCAAACTACGTGCACACTTAACGAATAGACTGCATTATTCTAGCTCATCATTACTGTAGATGGTTCAGAGGTAACAGTTCTCATTACGGGGTTGGACAAAGCGTCTCATTAAATTAAGGTATTGGGTAACTTAAAATGAACTATCCTTTCAGTTCTGGGATCTCAAATTCTGATTTGGATAATATATTAATCAGCTTTCCTAGCTGCATAATATACTGATGCGTAGTTTTAAAGCATTAGTAACTTTTAGTGGCAATGACTTATTTTCTGTCATTCTGGCTGAACCTGTCGGTAACAGAGAGACATGTGTTTAGACGTTTCATTCGAAACTATGCATGTCTTTGTTTGTTGGTATAATTACAGACAGTGTAGTCTGGATTTGTTTCGAGATTATACAGCAGGCATTTGAAATTAACAGATTTTACCCAAGAGGATATTAAACTGAAAAATTTGATTTCAGATATTTTAAAAGTTGATCACAAAGGAAATTACGGTTGACAAGTAACAGAAAAAAATTCATCATTTGAAAGGATTGGCTCTGAAATAATCAGGTGACACATTTGAAAGTGAATTAACAGTTGTTTCGTCAAAAATGAATTTGGAAATAATAAAATAAAAAGTCTCAATCACGTATCATGGAATTGCAAAGAAGAAAGCGGTAACATTCTGGCGTAATATGAGAAGCGATTAAAAGAAATCAAAATGTTGCTTGCTGTATATTCAAAATAAAATTGGAGATGGTAAAAAATTCATAACACATTTCTTCTATAAAAGAAGGCCGGGACTTCGTCAGGGAAACATTCACGGTCCCTATGGGGCTGTGTTAGCCACTTCATTCACCATAACGGAGTAGCCAGTAGCATATTCAGCCGGTTTAAACACTCGTCCCTCGCATTTCTGAAAATTGTTTAATTCGATTCTGTACGCTATTTGTAATTGGTGTAAAACAGATATGAATCCGTAATCAGCTTATTTATCATTACGTTAAGTATTAGTGTTTGTTAAACGATAAAATGCCTAAAATATGGCACATCATTTCACAGTACAATGATTTCCAGAATGTATTTCATTCTGACCTAATTTTAAAAAATTAAAATTGCATCAATTCTATTAAAATGTTTATTTTAAATCAGTATATATTGAGAGATATGTTTACTTTAGCTTTAGCACCCAAAATATGTTATTTTCGCTTTTTAGTTCTTCATTTATTATTTTATATTATTTTGACGACTATATATATATTCCTAATTTGAGCGCATTTTTAAATTTTCAAACATGTATTTTTGAAATTTTGTAAGTCGCTCAATAGCACTGTACTCTAAATCTCGTTATTTTTTTCAATTTTTAACTGCTTGTTTATAGAATACTATCAGGTGCTTGTTTTGTATTTGTAGATGAGTACATTCATATACAATTTTCAAGAAAAATTGAGATTTCAAGGTTGGAAGACTTCCTTATCAGCAATATTGATTAAAATGAAATATCGTGTCAGTTGAATTAATCTAACGTATTTGCTTTTCGATAAACAATACTTTGTTATGACAGATTATTTATAGAAAAATGAAAATTTTATACAGTACGTACACATTCATGACAAAAACGGTTCCATAATCCTGAGACAGCTGACTGTTTTTCACTGAAATTCGATAACACTTCCCTTCATTTGTTAGTGAATCAATGAGATATACACGCCAATGTAAAATTTAAATTAGGCAAAAAAGTAGCCTCAGTTTGGCATAGATTTTGAACTCAATCGATTTCGAGGGCCATTAGATAGAAGTTTCTTCTTCAGGAAGGGGGGAGGTGACTGCAAAATGGAAGAAAGACAAAGTGAGTGTATTTACATTGCAAGAAAGGCGAACACAAATGCAACGCCATCTGCCGAGGAAAATAGTAATGAAATTGATAAACTAATATATTTGAATTCTAAAACTGTTAGGAAGGATAGTCTTGGAATTAATATCATTACCTAAAGATTTTTTTTTTTTTTTTGTGTGTGTGTGTGTGTGAATGAGAAAAGCTTGAAGGAAATCCAATTCACTAACTAAAGAAGTTTTATGGATAATTTTTGCAAATCTAAAATAAAAATCGGGATTAAGTCTCTAACTATGATTAGGTATCATAGTTAGATTATCAGATATCTGTTTACTTCTTCTGTTCCAACATAAAATTCGTGTTCCTTGAGGTGAAATTTTAACACTTTTAGCTGATTTATAAAAAAACTTCTCTGACAAGATATGCTGTAAATTACTCAAGAATTGAAATCGGAGATGATGTCTTTAAGAATCGAACAACGAATTTTAGTGATAGATAATAAAATGATAATAAATGATAAAAAAAATAAACTGAAAGTTGAAGTTCTGGAGATTCCAAGCGAATTGATTACTAATAGAAACAAACCAATAAAGTCTTTAAAAAATTTTCGTCTTCCCATCCAAAAAGACATTCCGCTGTTAGAAATATCTATAATAACCTTGTATTTCTCTTTCAACCTTCTATCAATAATAAAAATGGTTTTCTAAAAATGGATCTCCTAAAAATTATGGAACTGTCTTTGATCGCTCTCGAAATTGATCGAGGTTTATTCGAAATCTAATACTTACTAAAGCTGGTTTTTGTTGTCTAATTTTTAATATTAGTAAATGATTTAAAACTGAAGTTTAGTAGTGATAAAGAAAGAGTTTTCAAGAAATGTGAAACATATATAATGACTTACTACACCGTTTTCAAACATTATCATTTTTTAAATACAATTTGTCGGTAGTGAAATGTTTACAAGAAATATTTCTAATAAATGCGTTTTTGAAAGTAAACAATTCAGAATGGCGATGCTGCATCGCAACCCTGAAAACAGCTGGCTATATAATCCTCAAAAAACATATGTATCGACAATATATACCGATCTCAAGAGTTATTTTTTTAAGCTCTACTACATAAGGAACTTTTTCAGAAATATATACGGGAATCAAGCTGCTTGTCTATTGTTATGAGTAATAATCTAAAACTATGTATATTCAAAATCGAACTGTTAAAAATCGCGTTGATATGAAGGGCAATTCAATGCTTATAATTTTTCAAATTTATTTGTGCAAAACGTAACATACAAAAATAGCAGAATTTTCTACATACCTATTACCAAGAGTGTAGTATTGAATTCAACACTTCCAAATCCATTGACAGCACGGCATTTGTATACACCAGTATCGTCAAATATGGTTTCTTTAATCCTTAAAGCCCCATTCGTCAATATGCGCATCTTCTGCCCTGGATATGTATTTATTGATTCCTTATCTTTGTACCATTCAAAGATAAGATCTCTGCTGTTGCGCACAGGACATTCTAAAGTTGTACTCATGCCGGGCCTAACTATGTGCTGCTGAACAGCATGGTTAGTATTTAGCTGGGGTGGACCTGGAACGGAGATACCAAAATAAATATTTAGTTGAACAAGCATTTAATTTAATTATTTTTAAAATTCCGAAACTCATATTTTCATTGTCGCAGAAATTCATCTTCCTAAAATCATACAAAACAAATAAGAACAATGAACAACGTTAAGCAAATTACATAATTTTATTCCGTTAGATACCTGAAATTCTTTAGCAGCTGTCTATCAGTCTTAAGTACTTTTATATCCACAACTACTTTTCAGTGCCATTTGCGGTATTATTGTAAATACGGGTAATTCAGAGAAAAAGGCCATAGCCAGCGCTTCAGCTATATCTTTCGTATTACGTCCTCGAAGCAAAAGCGCGATAGTAACTTCCTTGATTCCCAGCATCATATTCCATATCAAACTATTAATTATATATCTAGTATAATACAGCTGTTCATCCCTGAGAAATGATTACTGTCCAGTTACTTTTAAAATATTGTTGGAAAGCGTGTGGGATATATTAATTTGGGTATGGTACGAAATTTGCATTATTTCAAAATACTCTAATAAATATAGAGGAAAACCGGAAAAATGAAAGGGTCCGATATTCGAATCTCACTCACTACGAAAAGCAAACGATGTCTATGGAACTGGAAACAATGTGCTACACTGACTACCAATAAGTATTTGGACACCTGTAAGAAGAAAAACTAACTTTATTCAAAATCAATAGTTGGTAGAGCCTCCACGAGAGGTAATTACAGCATGGACCCTCTGGGGCATACTTTCCACAAGTCTTTGTATGACAGCTAGTGGTATTTTCTTCCACTCGGCTTGGAGAAGACATAGAAGTTCCTTCACCGATTTTGCACGGGTAGTGCACCCCTGAATTCGGCGATGCAACTCGTCCCAGAGGTTTTCGATAGGGTTCAGGTCTGGACTCTGGGCAGGCCAGTCCAATGACCAACTCCATTGGCACCATACCAAGCCTTGGTTAACGTCGAAACATGACAACTGGCATTGTCGTCCTGAAAATAACAGGGGTCCAACCCGTAAAACTGCCACAACGTAGGAAGCACATTGTCATCCAAAATAGTGCAGTAGGCATCGGAGTTGAGCATTACCATGAATGGGGACCAAGGGTCCCAGCCCATACCAGGAGAAACACCACCCAGACCATTAATTCCAACCTCCGCCGCGACAATGTGACTGTTGGCACAATGCATTCTGGCAGGAGACGTTCTCCAGGTAGACGCCAGACCCAGACCTGCCATCCGAACGGTAAAGGGTGTGAACCTTGATTCGTCACTCCAAAGAACCCGTTTCCACTGATCTACGGTCCAATTTCGATGTGCTTTGCCCACATTAAAAACGAGCAGCGCGGTTGGACTTTGTGATCAAAGGCTTATGGGCAGCAGCACGACCATGAAAACCAAGCAGATGTGCTTCCTTACGGATGGTATTCATTGAAACAATACTCCCGGATGCCTGTTGAAACTCCTCGCGGATGAGGGCCATCGGTTGGGTGCGGTTCTTCCGAATTTCTCTGGACAGCACTCGTCGGGTCTCTTATCTCCAGTTTCGTTGGTCTGCCGACTCGGGGCACATTCCGCACAATCACCGCTCACCTTTCCATCTTAATCACATAGGCCACTGTCCATTTTGGGTACTTCAGATCGCTAGATATGTCCCTAGGATCGGCCACATTTGTGATACCCGATAGTTATACCTTCCTTAGCTCCGAACTGCGAGGCATCTTGCATGCGACTAAAACCGATGCTGTTTCCTACACGATATATACCGGCGGAGTCCGTGACGTACCTTAGGACCGCAGATATCGTCATTTGCATAGGTGTCCAAATACTTATTGGTAGTCAGTGTATTTTGTTAAGTACTTTTCCCGAAGTATTTTGTGAGCATGTAGAATCTTTAAAAAAAAAAAAAAAAAAAAAGCTGGGAGACGGGAAAAATGAGCAATGCGATAGTCGCGACTCGAACCCTGGCTCTCTCGAATACACGTCGAGTATGCTTCCAATTACATCACGAAGGCACGCGAAAAGAAGGGAGAAAATACTTTATATACTACCCCCGTTGAAAGGGTTACTGAGGATTAGAGGACCCAAATGCCTAATCCTGGTGGTGACGAAATATTTATTTGTCAAATGCCAGTTACATTGGCCGTTAGGCCATTAAACTCCTTGCTTCCCAATAGCGCTGAAATCTACAAGAAAAATTTGTCAGTGCTTCACACTCGTCCAAATGTCCGCCGTCATTGGCCGTCACTGTTACATAAAACACACAACGGCGAATCAGTAGTCTAATGCGAAAATAAATGATTTGTAGACGTAGTCACGTCAATAGTGCAAAGATGCACCGAATTCGCGGGTGGTCAGGAACAAAAGCAGGGTTTGATGAGAAACCCACGGTGCCCTCAAGCCGAGTGGCAAAATCTAAAAGTCTTTTGATATGTTAGCGAGTCAGAAGCTAATAGAAGGAGGCTGCACTCGTGTTTGGTTTTGGAGAAAACCATAGCCTTTTTCGCAAGCATATCAGCATCTCATTCCATAAATCCGCAGTGTGAAGGTACCATGAAAAGGCTGGGGACGACTATTGTCCGCACTTTTATTCGAGCGCCACTTGTAGAGTCTTTTTTTTTTTTTTTTTTAAAAAAAAAAAAGCAGGAGACGTCAAAAATGGCCAATATTCTCATCAGGACTCCAACCCTGCACCTATTGAATAGAAGTCGAGTACGCTTCCAATTACAGCGGGAAGGCACGCGGAAAAAAGGGAGAAAATAGTACTTTCTCTAAGTATATTGGTCTTTTGTTTACGGGCCATACTAAAATACGGATGTCAAAAAATATCTGCACGAATTTTTCATTTACTTGTTTGATATCCAAACTAAAACTCTGCTCAAGGTTTGAGTGATAAAATACAATTTATACTTTTAAAACATTAACTAGCTTAATGCTTTAAAAGTATAAATTAGGCTAACGCGTTATTTTCTGTCTTTCGACAAAGTGTTTATAGTATTAAAAACACTAGCCAGGTAATTTTTGAAAAATCATCGTTTGACCACTGGTTTGGTGTGATTGCTGTTTGGGGAATCATTCTTGCATTAAGGCATCTCATTACTTACGTAGCTTTGCTCCTGCAAAAGTTTTACCTTAAAAATAAAATGATGGCTGTATCTATCGCTCGCTGATAATTTGATTTCTCCCTATGGAGTTGGGTATGGTTTTATGGACAATTAAGTATATAAATAAGTGGCTCTTTTTAAATATTGTTAGATGTTAGGTAATTTTCCGAAAACAATTATAACAATATTCTACAATAAAATTTTAGAAAATCTTTGCAGCTTTGAAAAAAGCACTGACAAAACCGCCATCAGTAACATTGAGAATATTTTATATGAAATTGAATATTACACTTAATTTAAAATAAATATACTACAGTAAATTTAATATTTCTTTGCATTTTTATTCATTTGAAATTTATTGTTAAGTGTTTTTATTGATTTTTGTTATTCTGTCTTATTTTATTGCAGTTCCTAGATCAATGTAATAACAAATGTGAAATACTAACTTATATTCTGCTATACCACATTTTGTTTGCCATAAACAGATATCTGCTCTTAAATCGAGTGTTATATGCCAACCATTGATACTGACACGAGTTCAGCCACTTGAATTTTTCATCGCAATCAAACTGTGAAAAAGATAAGGCAAATATCTCTATCAAGAAGCTTCCACTCATCTGAGTCACCCTCAAAATAAAAAAATAATAACGAATAATATTTTTAAATTCCGTTTTCATGATTAGAACTCGTAAGAGAGAGATTATCTTAAGTCTCTCACATTTGAATTCCATCACGAAATTTATATTACGCAATTTAATATATTTAAAATTAACTCAAAAGTATTTGTTATAACAATGAAATTTTGTAATTAGTTTGACATCATTCTGCGATTTCACTTATTATTTTTTACGTGTTTTGAGTATGTTTTGAGTACAAGCATATTAAAAGAGAGTGACAGTCACTAATAATAAAAATAGTCTTACTACCGTATCAGACCCGTAATGTTTACTTCATGATGGTGCTTTTCAGCAAGTCTTCCGCCAAAAGAAAAATTGAAAAGAATTACTTGAAGGAATAGGCTTACAGATCTAAGCTTCCATGGGATCGGAATTAAAATAACACGACGAATAAATTTGCAGGTCTAAGAAGAAGATTCTAAGTTTAAACCTTGAAACTAGTCCTGCAAATTTAGGAACATTACGCTGGTTCTTTTTGCCTTAATACCTACCTCCAATAATTCCATACCATGTTCGTAACTAAATAATAAGAAAATGCCATTCTTTTCTACTTAAAATACGACGTTAATATTTAACAAGAGTAAATGTAACATCTTTTGTATATAATAAAAATTTTATACATTTATCAATTTTTTGGGAGGACTTAAAAGCAGATTTTTTTTGGAAATCTAAAATCTCTACAGTTTAGGAGTACTAAATTAATTTTTTATAACTATTATACACAAATTTAGAAAAAAACTTATCCATCTATTATTTTTTTTTCTTCAAAAGTACATGCATAACATCAGCAAATGAAAAAAAAAGAATTAAATCTTGAAAATGAGAATGTAATGTTTAATAATAAATTTATGTATAATAGTTGTAAGGATTTTAAGTTTTACTAACGTTTATTTTAATTTTAAAACTTTGCTATCCTCTCTTATTTTGCATTTCCGGCCAGTATAAGCGTGATTAGTTTTGTTTATGCAAATGAACTTGCAAACTGTTAAGTATTTAAGATATGACTTTTAACCAAAAAGAGAGAGTTAGTGGAGTCTTAAAAGAGAGAGTTAGTGGAGTCTTAAAAGAGAGAGTTAGTGGGAGACTTCTCGCTGCCTTACCACGCGCGTGCTTTTCAGTCAGTTCTTATCTGCCTTTAAGGCCAGAACTTACTTCTCTTTGACACTTGAAGACGTATTGTAGTTTCCTGTCTTCTGTTCACTACATACGTAGAGTTAAA